TATGGCAAAAAGGCACTTTACATATTCTAATCGAAAAATTCTTAATACATACTTGAAAATATTCCTTTAACATTAACGTTAAATATAAGTTTTAAGGAAAACGAAACAATAAAGTAATTACGAATAAATGGCAACTAAAAAAAAATTTAGACATAATTTTTTTGAAACACCATGGCGAAAATATGAAAAAAAGTCTTAGCACATTGTCTACCATAAATTATCCATAATTTAGATATTCATTGTAACGGACATGTCACTCCGTTTTATTGCGCTTTGTAAAAATGTGTGACCTTGTGATTTTCTCGATGATGATAGTGGGAGACTCTAAATGGCTTATCGCTCATATTTATCAATCAGTAATATCTATATTTGTTAGAAATCTTTGAAATCTTTAAGTTATTTGAGAATCAGAAAATCTGCAAGAAACTTCTGATTTCCTGTTTTGCAGAGATCACATCTTTTTGCTAACTACCATAATCTTACTATGCTGGTACCTGCAGAATTTTAATTCCCAGATTGTATTATCGTGGAGTGTTTTTGAATCATTCCGATTTTATATAAATATCATTAGTTAGCAACAATAATAAAATAAAAAGAAAAAACTAAACTATCTTATTTTTATTTATATAAACGATAATAACCCATTAATCTGAAGTCATGTCTGAGAAAGCATGTGAGCCATCACATTAAACAGCTGAATTTTTACATTTATATAGTTTAAAGTATTTTTTTTATGAAATAAAATGCATGAATAAAACTGAATATAATAAAATATATTAGAAAACTTTATTGGAATTATAGATCTTTGTTTAAAAAAGTTAAAATAACTTTTGTTAAACTGTTTTAAACAAGTTCTATAATCTAATAAAACCCGTATATCTTGTTTTTTATGTTATTTTTGTTTGATCTTTTTTTTAAAAAAAAGTACTTTAAAGTGTATAAATAGTAACTGGTAGCCAGTCTATGTTTACACCAATAATTCTTGATTTATGTAGTCATAGAATACGCAGAGCCATTAGAGACATATTTAATCGAACATGATGTAAAAAGTTTTGATTATTCACAATTTTGCAATATTAAAGTAATTGGAAAAGGAGGATATGCGATCGTGTACTCTGCCTCTTACGAAGGAGAAGTATATGCATTAAAAAGTCTAAACAATAATCTAGCTTTGGGTTATAGCGAGTACAAACAATTAAAAAATGAGGTAATGTTCGTTTATCATATTAATATTTTCACCATC